CGCGTCCAGACAACCCATTCCACTAGGGACCTTTTAGGACAATCATCATGCAATGCATAGTCCCACAAACAAGTCACGTACTTGTTGATACACATCATTGATAACGTCCAAGGACTATCTTTATTCATAAACACATAGGAAATATCATCATACATTATTGCCTCTAGAGCATATATCCAACACAAGGACGCATCAAGGACGCGAGGGGCATCAAGCGGCCAGAGTCACATGAAGCATCTAAGAAGCATGAACTTCCCCTCAGGTCGTGCAACCGGTAACCCTCCGGACATCCGGTACCTGCCTGCGCGCAGACCCGTGGGTTTCGACCCATGTACCCTTCTCTCTCCCGTAGACTATATATACTCGTCCCCTACCTCCGTCCTAGGGTTAGCAAAGTGATAGCTCATATCTAGAGAGAGGTTTGCTCATATCTACCCCCTACTCACGTTGAGTCCAAGGCCTCCATGTGCAAACCCCTATCTAAAGGAGATCCATCTTGGATTCAAGACATCATCTCCTTCATAGGGTTTTTTTATGAACTCTACCATATATCCTTATTCCCTTTGATTGTTCATGTACCTTGTGGATCGTGTTTGTCAGTCTAGTAGATATGTGATTGGACTTGTTCTTGAGTGTTCCTCTTGTGAGTCTATTAGATATATGATTGGACTTGTTCTTGAGTGTTCCTCTTGTGATTTCTCCCTGTTTTCCCCTCGCGTTTTTCGTGTTCCTCCTCGAACCCACCTCCAATTCATGAACATCAGGACAAATCAGGGCACTTTGGCCCGTGCCCTACATCAGGTTGCCTCCCAGTAAGCTCTTTCTTTATAGACATTAAGATAGACTTTGAGATTTTAATGGTGCTCACATGAAAAACAAGAATTGAAGCACAAAAATAGCATCACAAAACATGTAACAAACACATTTAAGTCTAACCCTCTTCATATGCATAGGCATTTCATAGTAAAACAAGTTATCAAGACAAGCGATATCTAGCCCATGCAAATAGGAAGAATGACGCATTAATGATTTCAACACAAAGAGAGGTAATTTAGTGACGTTAAAAATTTTATAACCATATTTTCCTCTCTTATAATAATTACATGTAAGATCATAATCAAAATCAACAATATAGCTATCATATAAAATATTCTCTTTATGACTCATGTGCATACAAATTTTACAATCTTCCAAGATAATGGGATTAACATCAACTAAAGTTTGACATCTTAAACCCATTTTTATCAAAAATTTCATAAGATTGGTTGTTGTCCAAGATAGTGGGATTTTCTAATGTTGACACTCTTCCAATCCCACTTTTAATGTTCATAGCATTATGATCATCACCCCAAACATGATCATTTTAAGTATTAGGCATAAAAAAATCATAAAAATGCCTACAAACATATCATACATAGTTTCTCGTAATTTTATTGTATTAGAAACATAAAAAATGAAGACGTAGTTCGTCTCTCATAATAATTGCAAGTAGGGGTAACAAGCACATGCATATTATAAAATCATCATGTATAATGGTGAAATGCAACCCATCTATATAATCCTTAATAATTGCAAACTTCTCTCAAGCATCATTCATAGTGTTTTTGGGAGAATTCAAAAGATAATAGGACTACCAAGCGTGTGTGCAATAGTAATAATTTCATTTTTAGTATAAGGAACTATAGCAAGTTCATCTCCATAATCATCATTAATATTTGCAGCATAGCAAGCATCACATTCATCAAGAAGGGATATTTCAATCAAATCAACGAGATCATATCAATTATCTACAGATTCCTACAAAGTATCGGTCTCTTCTTGCACAACAGAGATTTTCTTAATAAAATCTTTAATATAGTCACTAGAATCATAATTTTCATAGCAATATTGAAGTATGGATTTTTTCAGATTTATAGAGAGTAGCATCATACTTTTAAATAAAAGAAGCAATTTCATAGGCACCCTTAAATGCAAAAAATTCTTCAATTTATTCGATATCATAGTAATTATAAATACCCTTGGCATAAAAAGATAAGGTTTCATTATCATTAGACTCACAATGGTAGGGAAGGTGTTTTTATAGTCCTTTCTAGAACAACAAGTAAAATCATAATATCCGCATAATTCCAATCTAGATATTTGATCCCATAAGTGCCCCCCCCCCTTGAGACAAGCGGTGACGCACAAAATAAGCATGCCCATCTAATGATTTCCCTCAACTGAGCTAGAGTGGGGTTTCAGCACGAGCACAAATGGATCGAAGATGACCCAAGTAAAAAGCTTTAAGTGACTCCATAAATTCATTATATTTTTCCTTTTATTTTTTTGAGTCAATATGAAGGCAACAAAAGTAAAAATATTTTTTGTATTTTTGATTTTTTAACGAAAACTAATATAGGCAAATAAAGGAACATAAAAAGTAGAACAAGTAAATGCTATATGTGTATGAAGGAACTTGTATTTGTTGGGTGAAGTCTCCCCGACAACGGCACCCGAAATTCTTCTGCTACTTGTGATAGGCGTTGGGAATTCCCCCAAGAGTAAGGGTGATGTAGTATAGTAGCAAAAATTATTTCCCTCAGTTAACAACCAAGATTTATCGAACCAATAGGAGAGTCACACAAACAAGGATAAACGGTACCTGCACGGCCGCGCACACACAAAACAAAATACTTGCACCCAATGCGAGGAAGATGGTTGTCAATCCCCTTGAGTCGTTAATTGCAAGGATTAATTCTGTTAAAGATAGATAGATAAATTATAAAACAAAATAAAACATAATATGTGCAAAACGCTATTCAAGATTTTAGTATGTGAAGTGAATGGACTGGGGGGGCATAACTTTCACTAGAGGCATCTCTCATGAGCGTAGTAACGCTGGATATGATTATTGTTGGGCAACTCATAGAAAAACGCATAGTTATGATGTTATTCATGGCATGATCAGTACATAGGCATTACGTCTGTGACAAGTAGACCGAAACGATTCTGCATCTACTACTATTACTCCACCCCTTGACCGATATCCAGCATGCATTTTAAGGTATTATAAGTTCATAACAAACAGAGTAATGCTTGGAGCATGATGACATAATGTAGACAAAGTAAGGCCAAATGACATGTTCGAACCCCATCGTTTTACCCTTAGTAGTAACAATGCAATACGTGCCTCGCTATCCCTTCTGTTACTGGGTGAGGATACCGCAAAATTGAACCTAACACAAAGCACCTCTTCCACTGAAGATAAATTGATCTAATTGGCCAAACTATATGGATAGATCGGAGAGAAAAATAAAGCTATAACAATCACACATAATATAGTTCAAAAAAGACTGAATTATTATCAATGAATAATATGATCATAAACCCACAATTCATCGGATCCCAACAAACACGCCGCAAAAATATTACATCGAATCGATCTTCGAAGAGAACATTGTATTGAAGTTTTTAATTGTCCAATGCTATTGTATTATAAAATGGTGTACACTGAGGCCCGGTTGTCCTAGTGAATTGTTCATGCTTGTGAAAGAATTGATTCAACAACCCCCCTCTAAGTCACGGCGTTACCCGATCATCTTTGATATGGCGATGAGTGTGTTGATGTTTACCACGTTGCTCATGAATTAGCGATGCTAGCCATGAGACAATGGGACCAAGAACTGATTGTTGAGGTCCCTTCGAGCCTTCATGAACTGATAACCGAAGATTGTAATACCCCAAAAAGAGTAGTTGTTTTGCTCTTTTGGCTAATTTTTTTTCTTTCTTTCTTTCATAAAACATCTTTAAATGAATGAATGTTAGGAAGAAGACTTCGAAGCCTTCAAGATTTTGAATGTAATTTTATTTTCTTTAAGAGCACGTTTGATTTTTGCTTGTGCGCACTTAGTGATTCTACTCTCTTATTTGTGTGTGCACTAGCAATGTTTCCTTTTGCATATCAATCGTGGTTTGATGGTGATGTGTTTGCACACAAGTAGAACTTCCGCACGGGATTGGCTGGCATTGTAGTACTGAAATTCAAAGTTCGCTCGTTAGAATTTCCTATCAGAAACCCTGTGGCTGTGATCGAGTTCGTCGTTCAGAACAAGAAGGAAAAGAACTTGCACAGTTACGCGATTACACGCACGCCAATACGTTTGGTTTGGAAGGAGAAGTTGAACACGAGTTTGCCTTCTGGTCGATGGGCCAGCTAGGATCAGTCAAACACTCGTGACTCCGTGATCGTGATGGAACGCATCCATCTAAAAAAATGGCGAGCCCAGATGCGGATAGACGCAGCATCCTGATACGGTTTGCCTTCGGATGCTCACTTTTCCTGCCAGATTTGGGAAGATTCATGGCCAGATTCATTCGAAATCTGCACGAATCGTCTATCTTTGTGGAGTACGTACCAGAATTAGCATGCATGGCGGCCAATTTTGACTGCTGCTAGTAATGGTCGCCTTCGTATAGGAGGCCTGCGTTTCGGTTCATTGAACATGGACGCCGTCTCTTTTCACCGCCGAACATAAGTGCATTGAACCTGCTTTGTTTGTACGTACACATTCACCCTGGCCGGCCGGTTAAAGGGCAAATTAGCTTACGAACTGTCCCATAAAATTTACTCCCTCTGCTCTTAAATATAAAGCCTTTTTTAAAGATCTTAATGTGAACTACATACAGAACGAATCTATACTCTAAAATACGTCTATATACATCAACATTACACTTGCCGTGCATTATTATTGACGTTACAATTTACAAAGAACGGTACGATCTTTTTCTTTTTCTTTTGCCCCGGCACGTTGCTCCTTCCAATCCTGTGCCCGTACGTATGTCCACGTTCACGGCTCGCAGCTCTCCCAACTCCGGACTACCTGCCAGATCCTGAATTCCTGATCATCGGCTATAAATCGGCACCGTCCCCTGCTAGCTTCCCCACACAGCTCTTGATCGATCCCGCTCGCGCTCTCTTCTCTGCAAAAAGAAAACATCCAGTCATCCGTCCTACGATCCCAATGGCCCACGTCCTCGCCGCCGCCGAGCCCCTCACCCTCCTCAAGCGCCCGCCGCCGCAGAACGACGGCTTCGGCGACGACAACGGCAGCACGGAGGAGAAGGCGCCCAAGGCGCGCCGCCGGGAGTCGGACCCGGCGGCGGCACTGGCCGCGGCGCGGCATGAGTTCGGGGAGCACGGCGGCGTGAACATGTCCATCGAGGCCTCGGCCACGTTCACCGTGATGGAGCCGGACACCATGCGCCGGCTCTTCACGGGGGAGCTGGGCCCGGAGCGCGGCGACCTGTACATCTACAGCCGCCACTTCAACCCGACGGTGCTGGCGCTGGGGCGGCAGATGGCCGCGCTGGAGGGGACCGAGGCCGCCTACTGCACGGCGTCCGGCATGTCGGCCATCTCCTGCGTGCTGATGCAGCTGGTGGGCGCCGGCGGGCACGTGGTGGCGTCGCGCTGCCTGTACGGCGGCACCCACGCGCTGCTGTCCCGGTTCCTGCCGCGCACCTCCGGCGTGCAGGCGACGTTCGTGGACGCGGACGACGAGGCGGCCGTGCGCGCGGCCATAAGGCCGGGGGAGACGCGGGTGGTGTACGTGGAGACGATGTCGAACCCGACGCTGGCCGTGGCCGACATCCCGATGCTGGCGCGGGTGGCGCACGAGGCCGGGGCCAAGCTGGTGGTGGACAACACCTTCACCCCCGTCGTCGTCTCGCCCGCGCGGCTCGGCGCCGACATCGTCGTCCACAGCGTGTCCAAGTTCATCAGCGGCGGCGCCGACATCATCGCCGGTAAGGACGCACACATCCAAGAAGTACTCCCAAGTTATGTTGCATGCATGTTCCATGCACGCATGCAAAGACAAGGAACGGCAACAGCTGTTGCGTAGAACGACCCACGTATGCTGGTTAAAAGTCCCACGCATGCAAGCCTATCTCCCCAACTTAAAAGTCAGTTCGACAAAGTCCATACGTACCTAGTTTTTTTATTTTGGATTGCAACTACCCCACGTTTTTAGTCAACCGTCATCTTATTTAACTGGCGTGAAACAATCGTAATCCGGACGTCTCATTCGTTCTGCAAGTTAGGAAAAAACTTCGGCAGTAGCATCACTTGACACACCCAGACATATTGTACTTGCTACCATGCATGGTGGGGAAAGCTACGCTCAAAGCAGCAGTGCTAGCTCACATGCAATGCCCTGAGACACGGGACGAATGGAAAAGGACATCCCGGGGCTGTATAGGTTCAACTACTAGAAAAAAAGAAAAGAAAAGTATATCCATGTTTAAAAAACGGTCTGGAATAACGATGGGATGGCTATGAGTAGTAATTATTAGGAGAAAATGGTAAAAAGATTATGGAACAGCGATGAGTAATTAGGAGAAAATGGTACCCCGCGCTAAACCATTATGATATGACCAATCTTAATCATAGTTTACATAGTTCGTCATATAACACTAGTACTAGTATTACTTATGCCTAACTCTAGAAGCAGAATTCAGTAGCGGGTAATTCACTGCCGGTGGCCGGCCATCACTTTACGGGACCATGCATATATGCAAAGAGGCTCTCGACACGGACGCCTCTCACTGTTGCACCCCACGCAAGGTGGTCGCCACTCGCCACCCCCGTGTGCAGACAAGGCCCAAAAGGACGAAGCGATGAGTCAGCGATGCTCACCCACACACGTATACGTACTACGAGTACTCGTCTGTAGCCAGCAGCAGCTACTTATCTCTAGCTAGTGCGTGTGGTGTCCCACCTAACCCGTTTTGGCCGTGCACGCGTACGCTCCCTCGCATGCCACCACCACCACCGTCGATCGTCTCGCGGCCGGACGCGAATGATGGAGCCTCGGCTGCCTGCTAGCCCTCCACGGTCCATGGACGACGCTACCCTACGGGGTCGTCCTCCTTTGGCTCCTTGCGCGTTTTCGCGCCATCTGGTCGATCATTGCGCGAGCGAGCGAGCTGTTCCTCTTGCCAGTAATAATTGCCAGCCCGTGAACGGTGCACACCCCACGCATTCATTTTCTTTGGTCCGTAGTAGTCCTGCCATGGCATCGCTCCACGGCGCCGACGGTTTCTTGTGGCTACGCTTTTGGTGCCTAGCGCGATACACCGAACCAAACAAACAACTGATCTCTCGCAAACTTGCATGCATCTAATTGATCAACCTATGTGAAATCTTGCAGCAAGTAGTAGTGACTAACAAGTGTTGACGATTGCAGGTGCGATCTGCGGGCCGGCGAGCCTGGTGAACTCCATGATGGACCTGCAGGACGGCGCGCTGATGCTGCTGGGCCCGACGATGAACGCCAAGGTGGCGTCCGAGCTGGCGGCGCGCCTCCCGCACCTGCCGCTGCGGATGCAGGAGCACTCGCGGCGCGCCGCCGAGTTCGCGGCCCGGATGCGGCGCCAGGGCCTGCGCGTCACCTACCCGGGCCTGCCCGACCACCCGCACCACGCCAGGCTGCGCGCCATGGGCAACCCGGGCTACGGCGCCGGCGGCATGCTGTGCCTCGACATGGGCACCGAGGAGCGCGCCAACCGCCTCATGTACCACCTGCAGAACACCACCCAGTTCGGCTTCATGGCCGTCAGCCTCGGCTTCTACGACACCCTCATGTCCTGCTCCGGCAACAGCACCAGCAGCGAGATGGACCCGGAGGACCGCGCCCGCGCCGGCATCTCCCCCGGCCTCATCCGCATGTCCGTCGGCTACAACGGCACCTTGGAGCAGCGCTGGGCGCAGTTCGAGCGCGCCCTCGCGCTCATGCAGCAGCAGGACACCCCCGCCGCCGCCGCCAAGTACGGCAAGCCCGTCTGACGACCCGAGAGGCTTTGCGTGAACCACCAAGCCCTGATGCCTCATGGCATGTAATGTATTATATACTCCTACCATTACTAGCTAAGTAAGTACGGTTAAGCGCCATCTGGACCTGATCAGATGGATGGACATGCCAGTGTGTTAAGCAGCGCGCCTGATTAGTCTTTGAAGAGCGTACTGTAAGATGCATCATGCATGTATTATCGGAATAAATTGGCGTAATTCCCTGTCAGTGATGATTTGTCAACTGCCATCCCGATTTTTCTTTTCGCTCGCACGCTTCGATTCTGCATTTACTGTGGCTAGTTGCTGTCCATACCAACACCAGAATACTGTTTCAGCAATCAGCTAAAGCTCTAGATATCTAGTCAGAATTCACAATGGCATGTCTCTGAACTCTTAAGTTCTGAACTGAACTCTGAACTAGGCAGAGAAGAGGAAGCAACATGTCTCTTTTCTGCAGGTTGCTGTCGTGTTTAATATTGGCGTTACTGCAGTTTCCAGTTTGCTCATGCGGTCTGAAATATGTTCTGAACCATCTTCTTGGGGCACTCCATCGCCGCGGCTTCCAGCTCTGAGATCTCATCAGGGCTCAGCCTCCAGCCGAGCGCGCCCAAGTTGTCCTCCACGTGCCTCACTGTCTTCACGCCGGGAATCGGAATTGCGCCTTTGCAAACGCACCAGTTTATAGCCACCTGCGTTCAGTTAAGTGTCAAGCTTTGTTTATCAGTGTCAATTTTTTTCTTCATATTTGTATATGTATGACATATATATTGACGAACGTGGGAAGATCTCTTCTTGAAAACTCTAGCTAGCGGTAGTGTACTTGTCGTATTCAGTCACATGTCATCAGGTTTGCGGTGGAATTTTGGAGATAATGGGTATGTTCGCCAATTTGTTCAATGTCGATGTTTTGACTTTTACTTGGCATATTTAAATAGAAAAAATGCGGCATGTGCATCAATCAATGCAGAGGATGGAGGATACATTCTTTTCAAAAATAAAATTTACGCGTGGCAAGACCGCAAGAGCATGACCATCTCTCAAGCTACACGTGGGACTGCCCGTGGAAATCACACCTCAATCCACATGATCCTGACACATGGACAATAGTGGGGAGCCCACCCAATACGTAGGTGGGCTTGGCGGGCAAGTACAATCCCACAAAACATGGGCAAAGACACTGTCACTGCAAAACGTCGCGGGTGGTCGTGACTTCAATTGGGGCGTGTTTGGTTGCCTGCGTGAGGCCCAATCAGGTCCGCACGGAAAGAAAACAGCATGTTTGATTGGCTGCATACATTGTTGGGATTGTATGGCATGATGTTTAAAGCACTCCTGGGCCTGGCTCCCTGGAAACGCTCGAATCGACAGTTTATCCGGAGCCAGGCCCGAGCAGTGCCCGTGGGCGGCGGCGGCTGCACGCGCGCGGTCACACTCGAGAAGCTGCGTTGCTTCCCGAAGCGCCGGCAGTTATTAGCTTCACCGCCCCTCACCGCTCCCTCTCCCCACTCTCCCCCACTCCCTCCGGCGGCGGCGGATCGGAAGAGAGCAAGAAGACCACCGGACTCCATCACCGGCGAGCGGATCATCACCTGGCCCGCGGCAATGGCGGCAAGCACTTTTCTGTTCGTCATGCACTACTTTTTCGTGTTCGATCCGGCGGTAGATTCAATCCACGGCGGAGAGGGGAATGGGGAATAGAGGTAGATAAGCATGGCAGTTCATACTAGTTTAGACGAGTTCATACTAGTTCATGGAAAAAAGTCCATTTTACTCCCTTGAAGAAAATGAGTGGTTCACATAACCCCCTGAACTTTATTTTGGTTCATTAACCCCCTAATCTATCCCAAACCGTTCAAAAATCGTCATTGGTGGGTTTGCACCGGTGGTTTTGCTTACATGGACGAGGTCAAAGCGTTGTTGACCAGTGGGGCCCTCCTCTGCCTTCTCTCCCACATCTGCAGCCACCCCGAGAGTGCCCGAGCTTCGGTCGACGGCCACCATCGCCGTGCACGTGGCCGGAGGAAGCATAGAGCCACACCAAAATGTCGGGATCATCTGCTTCGGTCGACGGCCACCATCGCCGTGCACGTGGCCGGAGGAAGCATAGAGCCACACCAAAATGTCAGGATCATCTGCCTCGTTACCCTCTTCAACTCTGCCAAATCCATTGTGCCAAGCCAACCCCAATCGAGCTTGGCATCGTCGTCTTCCTCGCCATTGCCGCCAGCCACCACGCTAAAATCCGCCATCACCAGCGCGCCCCCGACCTCCACGACCCCTTCGTTGACGCGAGACGACCTCACGCACCTTCTGGACAGGTTCCCGATGAGGCCCGCGACCCCTTGCCCGCAAGCCTGCGCCCCGGTCGCCGCCTTCGGCGTCCATGGCGTCGCTGCAGAGCACTTCTGGTCCCCCTTCCTGTGCCAGCACCCCCTAGGTGAGCCCCTGCTCCTCCGGAGCCTCTCCGTTCCCTCCCTCATCTATGTAGCCTACTCGCGCAGTGTGCCACCCATAGCAGCAGCGGGGGCTGGAGCTTGGCCATGCGGGGAGAGCTCCTCGGGGACGCGCAGCTCCAAATTGATGGGACGGTCAGCTTCAGAGGAGCACCACGGTGCTTAGGAAGCAGAGAAGGAGAAGCGGGGCTTACCAGAGGAAGAGATCGAGGCGGCGACAGTCGATGCCGGAGGCGGGGAAGAAGACATAGTCGCCGGTGATTTAGGGTGACTAGGATAAAGTCCTTTGGCATGAGCGTATAGCAGAGCGAGGGGAAGCTCTAGGACATGGATTGAAGGGGAGGGGGAGGTGTTGGCCACGCGGGCTAAGAACTACAGCGCCGGCGGCATAAACCAAGCGTCGATTATGCTCTCTAGGCGTCAAGGAGGAGAGTGGGGATCCGATTGACGAATGGGCCCCACACCCCACTGGCCAAATACCGCCTTGACCGTGTCCATGTCAGCAAATGGGCTCAAAAACCAGCTAGAGATGATTTTTGAACGGTTTGGGATAGATTAGGGGGTTAACTGAACCAAAAAAAAGTTCAGGGGGTTATGCGAACCACCCATTTTCTTTAAGGGAGTAAAATGGACTTTTTTCTAGTTCATGCAAGATCAGAATAAAGGTAGATGCGGTTGAATTAGAAGGGGGATTGGGGGATTTGGGGTACACAACAGACACGGGCTAACCGTGGCGGCCGTTGAGGCGTGCGGAGCGGCGGGTCGAGTGCCTGGCCTTCATCTTCTTGTCCATCGCCGTGCGGGGCGGCAGGTCGTCTTCATCCTCGGCGGAGTCGAGGTCGATCTGCCAGGTACGACGGCCTGGCTCCGGCGCCCTCACTGGCATCTGCACCGGTTCTTACTCCTCATTAGGCTCCCCACCGATGATCGCCGGCGGCACGATTGTCGTCTCCCAGTACACTGCGGCACGACGGTCATTAGGAGCCCAATAGTTCTTGTACTTGGACTACCTCTTTCTCTGTTTAGCGTCGTCGGAGATGGCCTGATTCATGACCCAGCGAATGATGTCGACTGCCATCGCGCCCTTCGCTAGGTTAGGAATCAGCGTCTTCAAGTCTTGTGCAATGGCCCTCATGAGCACTGCATCAGATTGCTTCTGCATGTCAGGCATGGAGCCGAAGTTCGAGCACACCTCCATGGTGTTCTCGAACTTGGTGTGGTCACTAGCCGACCATCCGAGGAAGAAGGCCCTCCAGCCAATACCCCAAGGAAAGGGGTTGGTGTTGGAGTTGGAGCTCATGGCGATGGAGAGGAGGAAGGTTGATAGTGAGAGAAGAGAGGGAGTGGGTAAGTAGTGGTGGTCAGGGTGAGTAAATATAGGCGCGATGGCGAGGAGGCAGAGTGACAGTCATGTCATTTTAACTACATGCTCTTCAATAAGCCATGAACTCTGCGATGTGTCTGAGTCCATGAATTATGTGCAGATCGAGGAAAGCAATGAGATGGGCACGGAGGTGCTCCCGACCGTTGACAAGAAGGGGAAGGAGCCGGTTCATCCAATGCCCGAGGTGGTGCTGCCGCCCACCGCCAAGGAAGACGCCAATGGTTGGTGACGACGAGCGCATGGAGGAGCCCCTCAGCAGCAAGCGCCGCAACTACGGCCACCACCATGAGGAGGGTGGCCCAACTCACTTCTGCAAGGTCATCCTTGCACCAAAGCTTGAGTGCATCCCCATTGCCTCTGGACTTCCCCAAGCACTTCGTCGCGGTGCCAACGGAGTTCAAGCCAAGGAACAACACCGGCTGCTCCTGGAGGGTGACAGTGAAGCTGATGAACGGCAGGGTGACCCTGGATCAGGGTTGGGCCACCTACGCCGCCGTTCATCAGATCAAGATCGGCTACATGGTGACGTTCAAGCTCCTGACTCCCGACAGCCTCAAGGTCATCATCTTCGATGACGATGGCATTGAGGTGGTAAACAAGTGCGGGAAGCACGACGAAGCCTTCGCCGCCAGGGACTAGGGCCGGGGCACCTCCTTCCTAAGTACTATCGAGTCTGCTTTATGGTTTATGCGTTGAAGTGTTTGAACTATCGTTATGATGTGTGGTACTATGTTATCTGAACTATGCTGTTAAGTAATTGATGCTCCGTTTATGCTCTACTCTGCTGATGATGTGTGGTACATGATTGTGCCGAAGTGTGCTGGTAACCTCACCAACTAGCCAAAGAGGTTACCACACATCAGGCGTTGCATACAACCAAACACCATGCCTTGGATTTGTCCACTTACATGCAGGACAACCAAACACCAGGCAATGTGGTTCTGCCCATGCCGGCAAAAGGGCATGCAAGCAACCAAATAACTTGCAGATGGAGCATTTGAGGCTGCATTTGCATAGCCAGACTGAGTTGAGAAGGCTATGCAATGCAACTACTGTAGACCTACGGCAACCAAACACGCCCCATGTGGCCATCTGAGTACGGTGATTCCTTCAAGGAAGCCTCACTTGTTGGCAGTGCAAAACCTTGTCGGTTGTGTCGCGCCTATCTATTTTCTAACCGATGAACTTTTTTTTCTTGAAATCTCAGAACCTTTTTTATAATGGGAACATTTTCTGGAAAATGCCTAATTTTTTGGAATTTGTGATTTTTCTAAACAGGGAAGTTTTTTGAAATTCCAAACAATTCTTGAAAACATGAACGCGTTTTTGAATTTATAGTATATTATTTTATACAGTGGAAATTTCAAAACAATATTTGGAAACACATTTTTAACCCAATTGTTTTGAATTTATGAACAAAGTTTGAAAATGAAACATTAAAAAATCCAACCAATATTCGAAAACAAGAATATATTTGAATTTTTTAGCAGCTAGGGAAGCGACCTGGCAACCAAGTGACTTAAGGCTTGTTGCTCGCATGGAGCGATACACAACATCTACCGAGTAGGCCATGGGAGCCTGTCAAGTGGCTGATACGTGTTGGACAGATGGGCTCCGGTGGTCTGAGGGGAAAACTTTGTTTTTGTCACTCCAGTTTTTGCCAACTTTGTTTATGCCACTCTACAATTTGACATTTTACTTTTGTCACTCTTAGTTTTTGACAATACATCACAATTGCCATTCTGTGGCAAAGCAATAATTTTAGAGTGGCAATTGTGATACATTGTCAAAATCTAAGAGTGGCAAAAGTGAAATGAAAAGTTATTGCTTTTGCCACGGAATGGCATTTGTGATGTATTGTTAAAAACTAAGAGTGGCAAAAATGATATCTTAAATTCTAGAGTGGCATATGCAAAGTAGGCAAAAACTAGAGTGGCAAAAAACAAAGTTTTCCCGTAGAAGAACCCACTAAATTTTGGCCTTAACCGTGAGATCCCATGGAACATTTTAAGGCCCTGTTTGTTTCAACTTTAGGCAGCAGATTTTTGTAGGAAAAAATAGAAATTGAAACAAACAATTATTTGTAATCATCTTTGACAGTGAAGCTGAATCTAGATTCAGACCCTTTTCAATGCAATTGCCAGAAGCACGTCCAAGCGTACTTGAGTGGTAAAGCAAATTCTGCGAGTGAAGCTAATCTACATGTGATTCGAAGCCAACAGGGCCTAAGTGGGATGGGCTTGATCTTGCCGACTAATGCCTGTGCCCATCTGCAGCCTAAACCGCCTCACATTCCTAGCTGCATGCGCACGTCCCAGACATACCGTAGCTGGTGCAAAGCTATTGTTAGGGGAATGTATCCGGTGCATCCGCACTTGTGGTGCTACCGGTGCACCGGATGCCATATAATGTTTTAAAAAATCTGAAAAAAAATTCTAGCACGTTAACGCAACATCAATGTATGATGTCACAAAAATTCGTACAAAAATATGAAATATTTTTTGAGCTATAAAAATGACAAATTTGACATCGGTGTGATAATGGGCCAAATCTAAAGCCCAAGTTATGTTATGTACTCCCTCCGTAAACTAATATAAGAGCGTTTAGAATACTAAAGTAGTGATCTAAACACTCTTATATTAGTTTACAGAGGGAGTACTATTTAGTGTTGAATTTTTCATTTTTGTTTTTTGAGTTATATTTTGAATTTTAACTTGAATTTTTGTGACAACCTGTTGTACGAGTGTGCTAATTTTTTTTCAAATTTTTTTGAACATTTTAAAAGCACAATGTGAGTCCGGTGCACCGGTAGCACCACAAGCTTCGGTGTACCAGATATTTTCCCCTATTGTTAGCAAACGAGAAAAAGAAGCTGCAATTTTCATAGAGATTCAAGAATTTGGAGGAGCTTTTGGTAGCTGTGTTGAGTTATGCCTGTATCGTAGGGAAGCCAATGAGGCAGCTCAGAGATGTGCAAAACAGGCTAGCAGCACTAGAAGGAGATGCCTTATGATAGACTTCATTCCTGCTTTTCTTATTGATGTTTTACAGTATGATTGTAATCCTTCTTAGTGTTTAATAAAGCTCCTTGATTGAAAGAAAAAACCAGATGTCAAATTACGGCATGCACATGGTTTCCTAACATATTCTGGCAGGGTAAAGCCAAATTTCAGGAACTCTGCACTTACTATGTAAAAAAAAGACCACTTGCTGTGACAGATCCCTCAATTTGGGTCACTCCAAAGTCGTTCTGCACTTAGGAAAACACGTACCTGGGACATGGTTTTGCCCTTTCGGTCGGCAATACTCTTCAAGCAAGACAGCAGGGATTCCAGCCCAGGAAGAATCTGCCGGAACAACACAGATCTGCATTGCAGGATATGTTGAGAAAGAGAAGAACATACACTCATGAACTGCAATGCAAATTCAGAAAAGGGAAACGGCGCATATTCGCTCGTCCCCCATCGGCCATTACCTTGGCCCATTTGGAAGGTTAGAGGCGTCATATTTCCCGGTGAGCATGCCCAACCCAAGAGGGCTATAAGCGATTAGCTGAACACCCAGGGAATCGCACACGGTTTTCAGCTCCATCTGCTCATCGCCCATGCTCAGCAGCGAGAACTGCACCTGCATTTACAGTAAGTTTGAGGCATAACTACACTGAATGAGAAGTATAGTTAGGCCCAATAGGCCGAAGATGCACGGCCAGCCATTTTCTCGCAGCTAACCTGAGCTGAGCTCAGGGGGACACCTCTGGATGCTAGGTAGCTGTGGATCTTCACAAGCTGCTTCGGCCCATAATTGCTCACACCCACGGCTCGGACAAGACCCTGAAAACGCCACAAACTTCCAGTCAAATGAATGATAGGAAACATAGCATGGCGTGTGCACTGCACAAATCATAATTCAGAAACTTTGGCCAGTTATGTGTCTGAAGAAATGATAGTCAAATCATACATATGTAGAAAGGAATTCAGAAACTTATATCGATGGCATGATATGATTTGTCTGAAAAAATGGCAACCTTGTCATACATTTCAACTAGACCGTCCCAGAGAGCGCGCTCCTGCAGAGGTGCATAGTTAGCAGTAGACCAATGCAGCTGCCCTATTCCGAGCCGATCGATCTGTAACCTTTCTAATGATGACCTGCAAAAGAGGCACTCCGCAAGGTGATTAGAAGCTAATGCAACTTCTCAGATATGCTCCGTCTGAGCTATATGTTTCTGCACGAATCCATTGAATGGATTGAACAAAAGGAAATATGGCTGATGTACATTAAGCACACAAATTGGAGGAGTACTTGCAGGCGTTGACAAACTGGCCTGACGTTAGTCGCCAAGGATACGCAGCAAACTTAGTTGCGATAATCACATCATCTGGAGACTTTATTGGCCCTGTGACAATACAAGGGCATAGAAAGTGTCATAAATTTTAAGCCATACAAATGATAGAACAAGTATCAGTTCACGGTTGCTGAATTCATTTTAAGCAAATTATGCTATCCAACAATCCAAACCTTGGCACTCGCGGATAAATTTTCCGAGCAGCCTTTCGCTTTGGCCATTCAACTTCCCAGTTCCATAAGAGTCGGCGGTGTCGAAAAGGTTTATGCCATTCTTCAGAGCCAAATTGAAACACTCCTGCAGTTCACTATCCATGCTTTCCTGGTAGCCCCAGAGCAGCTGGTTGCCCCAAGCCCATGTTCCAAAACCCATGGGGGAAACTGAAAGGGGCCCAACTTTCACCTACATTTGTGAAACAGCAATGTTACCTTGAGCAGAATTCAGTGAACAAGAGTTGATAACCTAACGTACTAATTGTACAGTCCTCATTTTCTTTCTGAAGATTGCGTTGCATGTTATGGTTCAGACTGTCATGTGAGCATACAAAGATGAACAATTAGCGAGTTGGCTTTACAGATTTCTGGACACTGCACTTGTTAAGAGTTCAATGTTTCACTAGTCCATCAGGACTTTGTGGAAGAGGGATAAGAGCTAATCAGGTCAACTAACCCTCTGCCTGTTTTGACGATGGTCTGATGAATCAACCAACCCTTTTTCTCCTTTTCTTTAGAGGTGCTATCAACCAATTTTACTAGAGACGCTATGTCAGTAGCTTTTCACCCACCTAGAGTTAAAATAAGCACAGCAACAGCAACCTTCTGTCAAGCCTCTAACCCGTTCTCACGTGATGTGGAACTTTTGGGTCGCCGTGCACGGCTTCGGTAAAGAGGAACGGCAGAATCAGAATGCATATCGACAATAGCTCTGAACCAAACGAACAGGGGCTTTTTTCCGTTTGATCCGCAGCCCCTGGGACACCACAGATTAAAGTACTGCTACTGCTACTGCTAATCTAATCGTGTTCCTGCCTCGTGAACAAGTGTGGGTGTGTGCGAGTTCAGACGGTTGTCCTCGTGTCTCATCTACTCGCCATGTTCTTTGATGGCGAGCTGTACTGTACTGTAGGTTCAGCACAGCTCATGTCATGTCGTGAAATCGGCAACGCAGTGTGGAAGAGAGGGTGCTGTGTAACCATTCAATGTTGTGTCGATAGTCTGATGCTGTGTCAAAAACTGCACCAAGCCCTGCATGCCTGCTTCACAGTTCACGGCGCTAGTGCTACTGTAGTTTAAGGCTCTGGAATTCTGGATAAGCAAGACTACAAGTTTATCAAAAACAGGGGAAGTGCTCCGATGGTTGCGCGACTCGAGGTCGTCGCTATGAAATTCATGCAAAATTGATGTGAAATCGCCGCATTCCGAACGGTATAATATGCAGGAGACATGTGTAGGAGAGCTGGCGTGTCGGGACCTTTTGCCACGGCCAGAAGAGGGGTCCGAGGCGCAGCGCCGCGGCGGGCGGCGGCGGTGACGAAGGTCGCCGGAGGAGGACGCCTCCGCCGTGCGGCTGCGACGAGAAAGGCGTCGCCGGCGCCGCCTTGGCAGCCGGCTGGGCCATCGTCGGTGGAGGGTGAAGAGGGAGGGAGGGGGCGCGTTCGTTCGTGTCCGTTCGTCTCGCGATAAAACCCCATTCGTTTCGATGCGGCACGCGTTGCGTTTTACTGGCATGTGCATCGCACGTGACCTCCTTTTTTTTCGAGACAACGCACGTGACCTCCTGGCATGTGCATAGCCGGGCCGGTGGGCAAGCAGAATGTGGGCTAAATTTGTTCTGGCCCAAGCCCAGCGAGCATGTATGATTTCTTTTTATTTCCAGAAGATTCTATAAACTCCCGCTTCGAACTTGAACTTTCCTGGAGGGTGTCACGGCCATTCTCTGCAAGAAAAGAAAACGTTGTACTTTAGGATTGTAGGGGGGAAATGGCTACTGGTGTACTGCCGTAAATATGAAATCCTCCTTGTCTTACCACTGAAGTGCTAACTAATTAAATGGGATCAGTAGCTCCTAAACTGAAAGACTGTTGATTCTGCCGATTCATATTTGGATATTTGCATTCAAGTTGTGCCGCCGCGGCAATGCCAGCTACCCGTGGTAAGTAACTGGTACGTGAAAGACGGGTGCATGCTGATATTTGCCCTTCTAGTATTTTGCTACGCCATGCTTTTCCCCTGCAATGCTTGTCGACAGAGTCGAAGTTGTCTGGTCGTCGATGCATGCTTTTTTTTTGAAATGGAGGCATGCCCCCGTCCTCTACATCATGATGATGCATGCAGCCATCTTATTAATAATCCAGAAAGTATCGTCATAAAAGTCTTACAGCTCGTAAACGGAGCAAAAAGAAATAAAGAAAAATATATGCGGACAAGAATAACCGGTATGATAAAAGAAGGATAAGCTCCCTAGACTCCTATCCTATTATGCGAGCGCCATCCGAACCGGTTGAATATAACCCGAACTACTATCTCCCATTGGTCGACGCGTGTGGTGGATTGTTTGGCATCGACCGGCGCAGGCCTCGGCGCTTGAGCGGTGAGGGCTTTATCGATGGTCGTTGAAGGTGGAGTCGGAGTCGCCCTCGCGGAGGAGTGATGACGATGACACCAGATTGCAACCTCGACGGCGCTTTTCTCTCGACAGCGTGTGTGTGTTCTTGTGTGGGTTGCTAGGTCGTCCTTTGTTTCTTGTTTTTATGAACATGTTGTGGTGGGTTTCACCCGGTTTTTGGTTAATTTACTGGGCAACTCTATTTGACCTTTTTTAATGAATCAGATTTTAAGAAACCGTGTTTAAGAAAATTGGTTACTGTGAGAGAAGAAATTGCTTGTGCTGTTGTCCTAAACCTAGTACTCCCTCCATTCAAAAATACTTGTTATCAAAATGAATAAAAGGAAATGTATCTAGATATATTTTTGTTTTAGATTCAGACGAAGGGAGTACCATACATACGGGCACGGTGAGCTGCGCGTAGACGACGAACGAAGGAGTACTGTGCACGCAGTGCAATACGTACCACTCCATCAGACCATCACTGACTGGCTGCCTGGTTGGTGGCGCCGTTGATGCTACTAGTAGTAGAGACTGGACTACGTACCGGAGCATCAATCGCGTCGGCATCGTCTTGCATGCGTCGCATTCAAACCGGCGCCAGAGGCAGCGTCCCCGTGAGTTATGGGAATTTATGGCCGCGCAGCAGCGCCTCAGCTTGGGGAAAAAGGAGCTTTTCCGGGTGCACGGATCTCGACGTGGAAAGTCTCCAGGGCTAGATGCTGCTGCTGGCTAGGCAGGCTCACTGCTCCTCCTCGGTTCTCTACAAACCTCGCGTCGTTTCCGTGCGGGTTACTCGCGGCACCGCCGCTTGCGGCTCCTGCGCTCCCGTCGCCGTGGGGGCGGGGCGCCGAATCATTTCGCAATCGAGTAGCGCTGGACTGCGCCCGCGCGCCCTGTCCGGTCGTGGCCTCGCTCTGACAGCGTTGGACTTGCCTCCAAGCATCAACCATGGGCATTAGAGCATCTTAGCCGTTTGCCTCTCATGAGAGGCTAAAAATCGCCTTCTAAAGGTGCATCGGCGCTAAACCGCGCACTGGGGACGTAATGCCCCCAGTCGCGACGCCAACGTTTTTTTTGAAAAAGTTAAATACAACGCAAACATGAATTAAATTTAACGCAAATATCGGCGAGTTCATTCAAATTTAAACATATTTAAAAAAAACTACTACGGGTTGTCTCTGCCGTCTCCATCGCCGCTCCTCGCCGTCTACCTCGCCGCTCCCCGCCGCCCGCCTTTGCAGTTCTACATGCCGAGGAGGCGGTAGAACAGCGTGTAGTCGCTGCCGCCGCCGCCGTCCCTGCTGCATCCCTCCCCCGGTTGGCGCGGCGGGTTCGTCGTCGTCGCTGTCGAGGATCACGCCGTGCACGTCCTCGCGCCTACGCTTGCGGGCGGCGATCTCCTCCAGGGCCCGGCGCTGCCGGACCATCTCGTCGCGGAGGTAGTCGTCCCGCGCCCACTGCAGTGCGTCCTCGTCGGAGAATCCGCGTTGGGCTATCTCCTCGTACTCCG